CACTCCTGGGTCTCTGGTGGTTGTTAAAACACCATCAGTGTGTGTTCTAGGCCCGGTGGGGAGAAGTTTTCAACCGGCTGTGAAATGACTGCGTAAAGCAAGAACTTGGGCTTCACCTTCACAGATCTGTCCCTCAGCTGCCACCTCCGCCCCTCGCCCCCTGGGGAGATTCCCGCCTGCTCGGGAGAGTTGGTTCATCCTCCTTTTCCCCTTCTCCTGAGGGTCTCCCACTGTGTCCTCAGAGGAATGACCTGAACATCCCCCAATTCACCCACAAGGAGGCTCTTTGCCTTTGCTGCTGTGCTGGTGGAGTTGTTCACACTGGGATCTCCTGCCTTCCTGGAATTTGCCTTCCTGAGAGACAAGTCCTGAGAGATCTGACAGCACCTTGAGGAGCTAATTCCCCATTAACAACAAGAAAATGACTCAGCACTCGAAAGGGTCACAGTTTGACTTCCAAGAGAAAAGAAAAAGAAAAATAAACCACCCACAATCCAAAGCGGTGAATTATTAACTCTGGGATTATCTCAAAGTACAGGGCAACACCCATCATTTTCCTTCAAAAGCATCTTCCAGCCACAGCCTGCAGGAGAAGCCTCTCCCACGGCCACGGGAACATGGCTCGGAGGCTCTGCTGTGCCTGGATTTTCCTCCTCCTCCTCCTCCTGCCCGGCCCCGCAGCCGGAGGGAAGCTGCTGGTGGTGCCCATGGTGGGGAGCCACTGGCTGAGCATGCAGGAGGTGGTGGAGAAGCTCAGCCAGCGGGGCCATGAGGTGGTGGTGCTGATGCCAGAGGTGAGCTGGCACATGGAGACCTCGCAGGCCTACGAGGTGCTCACGTACCCGGTGACACAGACCATGGAGGAGCTGGATGGCTCCTTCAACAACTTCGTGGCCGTTCACCTGAAGGGCCTGCCCTTCCCCCTGAATGTCCTGGACATCTACAAGAGCTACGTGCATGTCTTCAACACTTTCTTTGGCCAGTGCAAAGACCTGTTCCGCAGCCAGGAGACCCTGAAGGCGCTGAACCAGAGCGGGTTCGACGCCATCCTGACAGACCCCTTCTTCATGTGTGGGCCGACTCTCGCCCACTACCTCTCGCTCCCCTTCGTGTTCTTCATGAGGGGCTTTGGCTGCAACCTCCACTTTGAAGCCCCACAGTGCCCAAGCCCCCCGTCCTATGTCCCGAGGCTGTTCACCTTCAACTCGGACCGCATGACTTTCTTCCAGAGAGTGGAAAATGCCCTGATGTCACTCCTGGAGCTCAAGTATTGTGATGGTTACTACAACGAAGCACTGAAGTTGTCCTCAGAAGTCCTGCAGAGGGACGTGTCCCTCATGGACCTGGTGCACTCTGCTTCCATCTGGCTGCTGAGGTTTGACTTTGTGTTTGAGTATGTCAGGCCTGTGATGCCCAACATGGTCTTCATTGGAGGAATAAACTGTGCTAAGAAGAAACCATTGCCTAAGGTAATGTTCCTTTTCCTTCCTCCTTTCCTTCCTTTTTCACATTTTCCAGTGAAAATTCTTTACTTTGTTTCAGGAAATTTATCGCTATTGATTATTTTTATTTCTGGGAATGCTTTAAAACAACCAGCTTTGGGCAGCTGTTTTCCACAGGCTGAAATCAAATCACCTTGAGAGAGACTTCCTTGAATTAATGAGGATTTTCTCACAAAACCAGGGATTTCATCTGCCAGCTACAAATTACTGCCCTCAGTGAATGTATATTATTTGCCAAGCAGAACCAGTTTGGATTTCATTTTAATGGAATCTGATATATATTTCTGTAATCTGACCAAAAACCCGAAGGCCACGCTCTGGGAGTCATATTTGGGTTTTAACTCCAGGTTCTGCAATGTCAGTTAATTTGCTTTGGTTGTACTTTCATATTATTTAGTTCACAAATTGCCTGTCTGTGTTAAGTTATTCCTGTTTGGCGTCGTAGAACATACATGTCACATTGAAATGGGAAGAAATAACCCACAATAGTGTATTTGGGGAATGCAAAACTGAGGTTTTCACAGCTATTTCTTGACATTTGCTTTCACTGGAATTGTTCTGCAGGGTTTTCAAAGCTGAGCTAGCAATTTAAAGCTATTTTTGATAGTTACGATGTAGTCTCTGAAATAAGAACATTCTTTTTCTCCAGGACACAAATCTCTTCCCTGGGAAATTACTCCTTCCCTTCTGAATTGTGGTCACACAACATCCCTGCACAGTCTTTGAGCTGAAGGGGTGGTTTTTTGCTTTCTTCTTTCTGATTTCTTTCATGCTCTTTGACAGGCTTATGCAGAGCGCACTAAACCTGATAAATAAGAATAAACTTGACAAATAAGAAGAACATTATAAACTAGAATATTAGAATAATACTGTAACTAAGGCATTCTTTCACTTAAGACTCAAAGATGGGCACTAGTGTGAGATTTAAGAGGCAAATTCTTGCTGTTTGCATGACATTTACTTTATGTGTTGAGGATCCAAGAGCTGCAAAGAGTTTGTAAGTTTGCTACAGGGGCAGAGCCATCCTGCCCTCATTTTCTACAGAATGCCACCTTCTGTCTTCACACGCTCAGCAGGTGAAAATCACATGTTCCAGACCTGGCAAAACCTTATGTATTCCTCCTCTCTGCCTTTTTTAGCCCCATTTTCTACAGACAGCAGAGGAATTGCTCCTATTTCACTTGGAATAGGGCCCAGCAAGGATGCAGAAATGCAGCAGAGTAAACAAGTGTGAAGTGAATCAGAGGGGAGGGGGAAAAAAATCTACCTGTTCACACACACTGGTAAGCCCTGGGTTGGTCATTATTTTTCAGAAACATAATAATATTATTCATTCATTCATGGCTGGGCTTCGCGAACGAAGATTTGGGAAGGCTCTATCCACATTTGTTACAGGCACGCTTGTTGTGGGTCCGAAGAGAAGAGGGGACAGCACACGAGGAAGGGTGCAAGCAGACTTGTTTATTCAGGCGTGTGCCCCATTCTTAACCGTCCCGCCAGGGCAAGGGGGCAGAACCTCAGGTGGGCTATCAGACAGACAAATGGGGGAGCAAATCAGAACAGGGCACAGGCAAAAGGGGGAGGAGGAAGCCTGGGCATGTGCAGTTGTGCTCTGTGTAGCATGAATACAGTGAAACCACATAATAACAGTAAAGTCCATATGAAAGTCCTGCCAATTGCTGTATGCTTTTCTCCATGCCTGGAACTGTTCTCATCCTGAATCTTGCTTCTCTACATCTCACCCTTTCTTATTAGTTTGAAAAATGTCTGTTGTGATAGTCCTTCTTGCAGCATGCTGTGACACAAGAAATAGTTAGTAACAAAAGAAACAGAGAAAGCAAAATTTCAAAACAAGTGGACAGCTGCATTTGCTGAGTGACTCCCCCCCTAAAAATTGTTTCCAGCCCGAGATGCCACTGCTCTATGGTGTCTAAAAGCTTAGTGATAGTGGTCTTCTGTGGACTACGAGATCCTGGAAAGTAAGCAGAACACGTTATAAGGGAGAATTTAGGATTGGGATCACGTGATAAGGGAACTGCAGGGATTGCTGTTGTTTCCTGGTACTTGCTGAAGGGATGGGCTACGCAGGATGGAACGCGGTTGAGGGGGTGCTGCCTTGTTTCTTGACAGCTCACAGGTGCACTGTTTAAGATCTGGTATTGAATTAAAAGTCACTTTTCTTCTCAAGTCTGATGACTTTTTCGGGGGTAGCAGTTGTCCATAAATGTTAGTAAGGGAGCGGCAATCTTTAGTCCAGTGTCTGCCTTTCCCACATGGTCTGCACGGCGTCTTTGGAAGCTCAGTCTTTGTAGTTAATTGTGGGTAGTTCTTTTTTATATGTCCTGTCTCACCACAGTGAAAACAGGTTTGTGGTCCAGCTAAAGCTTCAGCTATTAGTCTTGCTTTATGAGAATTAGACCCCACATTCTTACAAGCTTCTATCATCTCCAGGAGTGTGGGATCTTTTAGCATTTTTAAGGCTTGTTGGCAATCCTCATTAGCCTTTTCAATCACAAGTTTATTAAACAAAATGTCTTGGCTTTCCTTTTGCTGAACTTGCCGTGCTATAGCTTCCCTTAGCCGGGTTATAAAGTCCACAAAAGGTTCTGTTGAGCCCTGATGAATTAGGGTGAAGGAGGGTGTTTGGACATATGCATCAGCAACCTTTTTAAAGGCCTCCATTGCCAGATCTTTTGTAATATCTAGGTATTTTAAATCCACGTGAGCCTGGTCTTGTCGGCTTGCATAGTTGCCCTCTCCATACAGCATATCAATAGCATTGCTTACAGGAATACCACGCCTCTCCATCTTTTCATTGACATATTTAACTATAAGATGTTTCCATTCCGCTTCAAAAACAGATGCCTGCAAAGTCGATAACAGTCCATTAATTACCGCTTTGATATCATAAGGTATTAAACGGCAGGCGAGAAAAAACGATTCAAAAAGTCCAACGGTATAGGGTGAGCCTAAACCGTACTCTACAATCGCTTTTTTGATGTCCTTTAACATAGTATAAGACACCGAGCACCACTCGGGGGCACGACCTTCCTATAGGTTAATTGGAAAAGCTTTTAAAAACTCGGCGTCGTTAGCCTGTGTGGCTTCTGTCCGGAAAGCTTTCCAAATATCGTTGCATGGAAGAGAGGCATTTGCCATCCTGCAACTGCCAGGAGCCTCGGTAACAAAGGCTTCATGGGCGTGGCCATCTTTTCGGGTGTTATCGTCGGAAGAGGCTCTGGCCCTGCTCCTTAGTTTCCGTCTACCCCGGGAGGGTGATGATGTGGGGGTAGAGGCAGCGCTGGAGGGAGAGGGCGTTCTGGTGGGAGGGTCCATGGTCGTGCCGGGGGCGTAGGGGGGTGGGCGC